GTTACACAGCACACAATATGATCAGGTACTCACTCTCGTAGCAGCTGTCTGCTAGAAGATAGGTTAACAACCCACCCGGTACTCTGGGAACCCACGCGAATGCAGGCAAAATCCTCTGCAGCATCCTCCTACTCGCCCATCTGGCTGTCGACCCCGGTCAAGAACCACAAGGCTGAGAGGAAAAGCAAATGCAAGGTAGAGTGAGCCCTGTTATCTTCCTACCACACTGCTAGCCGACCAGTCTCCATTCGAGTTTCAAGTGGGACTTCACACTCCGAGATAATTCTACGCGCATGCGTACTACTCCGGATGCTATGTTCCTTTTTAGATAATTGAAGAAGTATTATCGGAGAATTTCGAGACGAACAAACATGATTATGAAACAAATATAACAAACCAGTCTTTACAGTTCGAAACACCGATTACAATCACAATTTTAAAAGCTATCCTGTAAAAAAAAATACTCTTGGCTAGATTTCACAAACAAATTTTATGTACATAAAACGTAAAATATAAATTCATATGATATGAGCCCGAAACCACTTCGATCCTTACCCGGAGCTTCACCTCTGACCTGAGACTTCGCCCACACCAAAAAAAACAACAAGGAACTTGGTTTAGCCAATATTTAAAGAATGATGACAGATGACGTCAGGTCTTGAGATGGCGGATCCAAAATCTCTCAGATTCCGTTACCACACTGAAAGAACAAGAAAGACTTTAAATATCAAATATATCCGGCATATACCGTTATTTCCATAGAATTATAAATAAAGTTCAAATAACCACAAATGCACGACACCTGTGTGTAAAGGTCACAGGCCTTCAACGCCCAGAAATGATTCTTTCTGTTGTTACTTAATTGGTTTTAACTTCAGAGACTGAAGTAATGAAAGTGTTTGTTACATCGCTTGTCAATTAGTGGCAGTTTCGTGGACTGCTCCCGGTTCAAGGGAACGTTCGCATAGGTAATTAGCATCATACTGTATCGATGTTAATAATTCGGTTTCCACATAAAAAACAGCTCATTTTTCCAAATTATGTTCTTGACTGGGAGGATCCAGCCAATTTGCATGTAATCTCACGCCGCTCTCTTGGCGAAGGTCAACAAGTCTCTGGCATAGCAAGCGGTCGCTGACGTCAAAAACAATTTGCAGCTCAATCTTGACTGGTTATGAACCCAGATGAAGTTGCGAACTCACTGTCATGCCGTCTGTCATATAATTACGCGAGACTCAGTTCGTGTATTTGGGGACGACGTGATCAGACCAAAAATTACATTCGCTAAAATAAAAGCAAATTAAATTTGGAGAATTCGGAATCTTCAGTCTTCTACCTAGAATCCCCTGATCACTAATTTTGACTTTTGTTTTGCACAGATGTCAAATTCTGTCTCAGAGATTAAAACAGATGAGGGTGGAATGCAAATTACATACTGGGCTTTTAACAAGTGCAATGTCTACACTTGTTATGATTTAATGGTTGTGTTCGAACAGAGTGAGTTTACAGTCTTTCATATTTTTACCCAATACAAAAAAAAGCCGGTATATATTTGTGTGAAACGTGTTCTCTCAACCTAAAGGAAGATCACAGATTCAAGGCGTTTGAGAACTGACAGTGATGAGTGATGAGAATATTTGAATACGAGAAAGTTGAAGCAACAGAAAAAATTGGAAAGTTACATAATGACGAACTTTCATAATTTGTACTTCTATCAAATATTGTTAATGACGTCGAATTGTGAAATATACGTAGGACGCAAGACGGCGACGAAAAATATTTTCCAAATTTAGTCGGAAGACCTGAATGGCGAGACCACTTGCAAGGCTATGTTGGAGGAAAACATTAAAGTTTATTTTATGGACATTCGGTGTCGAGTGTCTCTTATAAACACGGAAGGTTCCATTAATGGCGGGGAATTTCTATACTGAGCGATTATCAGCTCTTTAAGGAAGACACTTTTCCATGAAAATTTATTAGTGGGACTATTACAAGAATTCTATTCCGCCATTAGAATCATAGTTGAATAATGAACCTCAGGTGATTGCTCCCTTTACAATATCTTCAGTAGGAATCAGGATGCTTATAACCACCTACCACTTCGCCTCAACACAACGTTGTGAACACTAGTCAGTAGTGTTTGTAGAACATTGCCTGCCTTACATGGAGACATTGATTTCTCCCCTTCCGCGTCTCATAAATAGACGCAATGTAGCAATAAGTCCTCGGATGACTGAGATTTGCGACGTGTCGACGTCCTTATATGTGTCCGGTAACGTCGAATGAATACATCATGACGGCCTGCAGGCAAACTTGTAAAGAATTTTAAACACAGAAATACGCGTAAGCAAATTAAATTTTAATTTAACATAGGCTTTGTCAGGAGAAGTTCTTACACATCTATCATAATCCTCTGCCCTAAGTGTGGGGCTTCATCCCAGATCCGCAATTGGCTGGTCTCGGAGTGAAGATTATTTTAAGTTCCTCGTATGTTTCTGTGTTTATTCTATTAGAAGAACTCATTTAACATGATGGCTGTCAGGCGTAACATCAAGGCTTCACACCATTTCAAAACAACATATCATGAAATTTTTCTGTGTGTAGTTTTAATTCGCTTCATATCCAAATCATAGCTAAATTCTTCTATTAAGCCGATCGCCCATCCAAGGAGTCCTGCTAAGTTATCGAAAGGATTCGTTGTAAAATATGGCTGCCTTGTTCAGAGGTCCTTGATGCCTCCATCATTAGGGCCCGGCGCTACAGTCCATCTTCATACTCGTCCTCGTGAGAACCTCAAATTCTGCCAAAGGAATAGTTGTTTCGTAATTAGCTGTAAATTGGGGCAGGTCGAACAGAATAACCCGATAGGCTACGTGCTCCTCCACCCTTACCATTGAAATTTCCAGCTACAGGACGTCGCGAAGGTGGTCTAGGTGGAAGGACTTTGGCCTCGCGTCTGGGTATTGATTACCAACCAACTATTTGCAGCCGAGAGTTGGCTCGTATGTCGTATGTAATATATGCTTACTGGCTACTGTGACAGGGTTTTAGTTACTTTCCGCAGTCCCTCCAAACAAATACTCCGTTAGTGCATTAAGATTGTTAATTTTATTTTTTTTTAAAACAGGAAGAACTGCTTCTGCAGTGGAAGGAGTCTATTATTGATGTACCGTACGCAGAATTATGTTTTGTTTTCAAATACGTGGTACAAGTTCAACAAAGAATTGCTGTATGTTGGTAATATAAATTTAATTGTTTCCTAAGTATGTGTTTGAAATATAAATCATTCGACACGGGGAGACCTCATCATAACCCTATTGTCGTCAGAATTTCAAAAGTGTTGATAAAATTCTTTCACATGTTGCTCACACATTAGACTTGAAATTTAAAATGTTGTATTATTTTATTTCTATAGCTATATTAAACACACAAAAGCAATCCAAATTAAAATAAAACCATTGTTTCTATGGTATCTGACGAACAGAAGAACCAATTCTGGTTACTGTACAAATAAGGTGCCAAGACAGTCTTAATAGAAGAGTTCCTTTAAGAATTTTAATATTGACACTGTTAATAAATGACGTGGATCGAGGCCAGAGAAAAGTTACCTTCTGTAGTTGACCACTTCCTTTGTAGGGCCGTTAGATGTTGAACCTTCTTCAATTCTTAAAAAAATGCAGTCAACACAATGCGGTTCTAAACTAAGATCTTATACAGTCTATAACTCACTAGGTTTGAATGGAGAACGCTTTCCTGACAACTGATTTCCATTCAATTACTCCGTGGCTTTAGTACGTAACTCTCGGCAGTGGTCGAAGGTCAACGTGCCGTGGGTGAAGCGGTCACTGACGTTATAAAACGGCACAGAGTCGATTAGTACCAAACAAAGCGAATGAACAGCACATCAACAACAACAACAACCAGTATTTCAATAAATACACCCGTCTGAAAACTTGAATCCAAGCTTTGCCAGTGTGTGTTGTTAAATCGAACTGCCCAATTATATCTTAGCAAAGGATTTTAGCATACGGAATGCATACCAATGCAGCAGTTTCAGTAACGCATAAACGAATCGCATGTTTGTAATGCCTCGCCAAGAATTTTGTAGCTCCAGGTTTCAAGCCACATTATTTATATTCACTTTACCACCGTGTATTAAATCAAGTTATGGTCTAGGCAACACGGAGTTTTCCTCCGGGGGCTTCCCCGGTTTCTCCGTGGCATCCCAACAATTACTCCATTCACACACAGAAGAAGGCAATGGCAAACCACTTCTGGATCATCTGCCAAGAACGTATATGAACAGGTCCCAGTCCGAGAAAAGGATGGAAGGATCCTGTTCATATGGACCTGTCGTCAGACAGAACACTAAATAAATAAATAAATATAAATAAACGCTAATTGGAAATACTGAAGTTAATGTTTCGTTCCAAAGTTATAAATCAAAGAGTTATAATCTTTAACGTATATTTAAATATCTCATATATTTCAATGTAATTGAGAGGGGAAATGCATTTCTCCGGAATCATCACCTTGCGTTGATCGCGTTCTGACCAGAGTCAGCGCCTGAGAAATCATCAACCAGACAAAAAGTTACTTCATTAAATTGATTCTTTCGGTCTAGGAATTTATGTCATTCAATAGTAAATTCCATTAGACTTCGGCCTTGCTGAGGCTTTAAAGTAATTTTTTTTGTCTAATTTTAACTTACAAATCAGCAACCAGCTGTGCGAAAATAATTTCCAGATAAAAATAAGGAACATATTACACACATACACACCTATATTGACAGTCAACACAAAAGCTCTTCACATTTTCACAGCATCTTTCTTTGACAATTTGTCATTATCAGGGAATAGAAATTAATATGACGAAATAATTTGTATTTGGAGAAGAGAACGAACTATGAAGCTCCTCATTAAGGAGTTTTCTTCCACCTTCAATAAATATTCTTCCCTTGACGTGAGAAACCAGGTTTCACATCCATACAAAACAACAGGAACATTCATAGTTCTGTATATTTTAATCTTTACATTCAAAGATAGCAGAAGGGAAGACAAAACATTCTGAACAACATGGCAGCAAACATTCCCCAAATACTTCGGTTTAACATAACAATTCAAATCTCATATGTTCATGTGCAAAGATCACGATAACACTGCCCTTAAAAACCAGTTTCAAATACGCACGATCACATTCTACATTTATAACATAAGACGGCAAATGCTAGGAGAATCATATTCAGAATCAAATGAAAGTGCTTTAAATATTTAGTTCTGTTTTAAGCTTAAGACAATGGAAGACGTGACCGTACAGCCATTGTAATCAGCTAATTGTGTTAACTACAGATAACAGAACGACGTTATGCATTTCATAAGTACCCAGTGCGGTAAATAAAATATGTATGCAGTTTCTTATACGCGTTTCCGCTCAAAATATCAACGAATACAATTCAATTTCGTTTGAGGTTTGACATAAAGGAAAATAAATCAGGTACTGTCACATTTTATTTAACAATACGATATCAAATTAATAAATTGCACTGTGACTTTATAGCATGATTAATTATGAGATGGGGAAGACATCAAATCGCCACAGAATATTCTGAATGGAGCCATGGAAAAACACTAAACACCTTCAAGCCACGAGTCGAACCTGAGTCCTCCAGAATACGAACACTTTTCGCAAAGACTAAATTATGATATTAAAATTCGACTCTCAGAATGTGTCGTCTTTTAAGAGCCAGCTTTAAACTGCAACCGTCTAAGGGATCGTAAAGTTATTTCAACCAAATACCCTCTTTTGTGCGGGTTTGTTGAACCCCGTCTCACTTTCCGTAAGTAAACCAATAATTAGGAGGTCTAGGCACGAAGCTCAAATCTACGTGTCGGTGCTGCTTTTGCAATCTTTGTCCACGGAAGAGTCCGTGCTAGTGCCTTGTTCTGATCGAGATGCGTCGCGCAGGTCCTCCGGTACTGAGGCTCCCGGTGTGGAGTCGCATCTGCCTCCGGGGCTGTTGGGGCTGCTGTTAGCGGGGGAGGCGGGGCTGGCACTGCGGGTGCCCACCGTCGCGGCGGTCACCATGTCGGGTGGCAGGGACCCGATTCCCGCGACGGTGCAAGAGCACATTTTGCCCGACACTGGTGGGCCGAACTGTGCAGCAGTCGGAAGCTGCTTGTCGCATAGCTGCAACCTGTAATCACCGCCACAGTCACGTACCTTGCCCACTGCAATGGACCAGCAGAAGGCATGAATCCAGTTTCATACACAAGTGTCAGTAATATTCGGCTTATTTTATTCAAAATTTAATAAGGCTAGAAGTTTGTTACTGTGTTTCAAAATGTCATATTCAGTTTCTATGTTACTACTACCTTGTCTCGTACTCTCACAACGAAAAGTCATCTCTATTTATTTCTAGACCAAACCTACTCTCCAGAGTCCAACAGAATAGGCCCAGCTGTGTTCTAACTCACAGACCGATCATTAAAATATTCGCAACGATGAGCGACTGTTAGCAATTTCAAAATTGCAGGACTACTCCTTATCGGCTGTTAATTACTACTTGTTAAATATATTCGTAAATCGTTTCATATATGAAGAACGCGCTGTATCTAACGCCTTTAAATTAGCAATCACACAAAATTGATGGCAATGGTTGACTGATTAGACCTACACCATAATTACATTGAAGTATTTAATAGAAGCGGAATTTTGGTATTTGAGCTCAGGTCACCAGTGGTAGATAGAGAGACGTAAATGTTTTACTGTCTTCATTAAAATATCGGCGGATTCATAAGTAACATCTGTCGGTAGAGCCTAATTACATACAACCAGTCATCTCAAAACGACAGTAAAGCAAGTTCCCGAAACGTCGTAACAGGCATTACCCGTGTATCATCCTGAAGCCGTCACTGCAAGCGGCCGACATTTTCAAACTGGCAGAAGCAGAATCAGGATCCTGTTGAGGAAGTCCCGGGTGTGATGCCCGACCTGAAATACACACCATTTTGCCATAATGAAGCGTGAATTTCATTGTGACTTACAGACCAATCCAATTCATTATCGTTCTTATGAATATGAGGTTCGATAATTGAGTTGTCTTAGTAGCATCGTAATTACTGGTTTCCGTACTTCATAAAATTAGCCGTATTAACCTTAACCCAACGTGAATAGCAAGTTATAGCCACAGACCGCGTGAATATAGTTAATAATTTTGATCGTACCGCACAGAAAACAGCTCTTCATCATTACGAAGATCAGACTGATTAATGCTATTTAAGGAAATAATCCCTGTTTTTATTCAGAATCACACAAAGAACCTACACGAAAAATGCAAATTTATTTATTGTTAAAGCAGAGCAGGACATGTATCTACCAATTTTTGAAGACGGAAGTAGATACAGCTTCCGAAACGTAGTTTTACAGAAGTACATACGATGGACAAACTAAAAAATATCACTTATACATATTACAATGACGATATTTTGCGGCTGTGCCGCTAGAACTAGGAGGCACGGCAAACCACGCGAAAAGGGCGCGCCCTATCATCGGCACAGCCGTCAAATATCCTAACCGTAGCTCTTATTGTATGGCTATTTGCGGGTATTTATAAACAGCAAAGTTTATGGAGTACCTAGAAGCAGTGGCGGTGTGCCGAGGCCAAGGCAACGCATCCTCCACGCATCCTGCAAGAGCTGCAACCTTGCCTGCTTCCTCCACTTGGCTCGCCTGTTCTGGAACCACACCTGATAGAAGCACACCGTAACTTTCTTTTGCGAGCCACATTTTACCAACAGATTCAACAGCAACGCGAAGAATTGTCATTTACTGTTCTGTACGTCTGCTTTGAGAGCTTACAAATATGGTCGGGTTTCAGTCTGCAAACACTTCGCAAGAAAATATTTGGCATTTCTTATTTTCCCGCTGGAAATGAAAAGTAAGACACATCGTGACCTACCGCCAAGACAAAAGCTCAGAATTTGGACATGCGAATAAACGTTGAAGCCTGATATTTTGCAACCAGTCATTTTTGGCAACACTTCAAACTCGGGTATTTTATTCCGACAAAACATATAAAGCCAGCTCCATTGTCCACTTTCAAAATCTGCCAGAAGATTACCTATACAGCTCGTTTATTTTTTGAACGAGTTGTCATTGTCTTTAATTGAAATAAATTCGCCTGTATAAGCTTATCCAGCGTCAATTCCACCCACACGACACGATCTTCTGAAGTGACTGACCAGCGTTGGACGCGAAGCAGTTATGCCCCCCAGAGTAACGGCCGTGTATGCGAGAAGTCGGTTTAATCCGACAAAACATCCCGACTCGGTTCCATTTACCCCGTTAGCTCGAGAATTACCGCTCCATCAACCATTACCTGAACTCGTGCTTCTGACAGGTTGATCCGAAGTGCCACTTCCTCGCGCAGAAATACGTCAGGATAATGCGTCTTCTGGAACAGCGACTCCAGTTCCTGCAACTGTTGAGGGGTGAAAGTCGTCCTATTTCGACGCTGAAAATGGTAATCAGATAAAGGACGCAATCAGAAGTCCTCCTCCTACACAATGACACCACTGCTTGGGTCCCATAACCTCCATAAACACTGACAGCACAAAAGTACGGATTAAGATTACACAAAAGTATAATTCTTTGCGTTATTTTGTACTGGCGTGAAAGTTGGTTTCTCTTGCCATAGAATTTTCTGAATTTTACCCAGAAATTAACTGGGATGTCATAAAAGACTTAAAAGGCCATATACACGTATTAAACAGCCTTACATAAACATTCAAGAAAATCACTTCACTTTATTATTATTATTATTTATTTACTGCAATTGGGTTTGAACCCGATGGCAGTGGTCCTTACACTACACAATTACAACAAAATACATATAATATAAACAAGTACACTCCCCACACACATAACTAGACATCCACCCCTACAAAAACATCCACACCTTACACGGACACACATCCATTAATTAATCACAATACTTTAGAGTAAAATATAAAGTCAGACCTCAGTACATGAAACTTTTATCCCAAAGAACTAAAGTCACTTCATCACTTCGAGACTCAGTCACTTCACTTATCACCATCTAATCCCAACTTAATAACCCTTAGCTTGTAACTACATTTCTGACTAGGCGCACATTCGGGCTATGAATCTACGCTGTGCCAATTTTTAACTTGACTTAATAACGGGGTTTATCGTGACAAACTCATTTGTTACCAATTTTTCAATTTCAATTTTGACCATATAACTAATAGGGCTATGCCACTTTTCCATTGAAACTCGTTTATATTTGTTTCTTTGTCAATGAAATCGAACTGAAAGGAAAGCGGATTCTTAAGGAGATTTAGTTCATTATTATGGGTTCCTTTCCCATAGAATACAAGCTTACACATCCTTTTAAAACACATTATTTTCTAAAATTACTATTCACAGAACTTAAACAGTCGAATCGACGATACTTCCTTCAGAAAGTGAAGGTTCAACCTGGACTCAACTATCCGACTAACTCTTTAGCCTCCGTTTTCCAAAGCGTCGACCAGGCTAAGAATCCTCCGTCCCAGAACAGCGAAATTTTATTTTCGAAAGCTGCGCGTAGTTAAGTCGAGTCTTACCTGACGCCGGCGTCCGAACATGTACTCGGAGAGAAGGTCCCCTGGAAGAGGAGATAGAAACGGACCAGCCATTACGACAATCAGCGTCGTTCTGAAGGGTCGCATACCCTTTACACGGGGGTGTACAGTCTCGCCCCGCCCATAACACCCCCTGCTATTGGTAGAGAGGCGGAGAGGCGTCGTTTATCCCACCAATAAATGGGCGCCGTAGGAGGAACAATGTTGGAATTCGATTTCATTAAATAAGCAGTTTTTAGGGAAGATATAAAAATACTGGAGGACAGAACGGGAACCTGGATATTAATTACGACATCCTGAGGTGCTCCGTCGAGTAGCGTCTGCATTCTCCTTGCGACGCCACACACATAACGCGACGAAGAACGAGAAAAACAAGTCCCGGTCAGTGAATGTTTCTTTTGGAGCATTGGTGCTTTTCCAAAGAGTCCGACGTTTCGAACGCTACTTTTCCCGATGTTAACTTCTTATTACTTTTCCAGTGCATGTAAAAGAAGCCCATCTACACTGTCGACCGCCTTCCTGCACAGATTTGCTACCTTCGAACCTTCTCTTGCAAACAATTAATTAAAAAATAAAATTAACACAAAATTACCGGCGACTTTGAACAAATTAATATTAGGTCTGGTGCAAAATTTGTTTCGTAACATTCAGTCTAAACTAATAGTGATGTAACTCTGTGGCCTATTTAAAAGTATTATTCTGGGCCGAAATTCGAACACAGGTCCTCTTGAATACAAAGCAGAAGTGCTGGACTGAGACGAGACCGCAATTGGTTCCTGCCCAGAGCCAGCTTAATCCAGTCCACACCCTCGATACCCGTTTCCATGTCAGGTTTGATAATAATGTCCCATCTGCGACTACGTCTTCACACTTTCTGCGCAATGAACCCCGAATTCATGAATAAGAACGAACCTCAGTTCCTTGCCTTGACGTACTGATGAAATCACGAAGGTATTGTTTTTTATATGGCGTGGTTCATCTGATGTTCAATATTAGTCTGTAAAGCAATGATTTAAATAAAACATTAATAAATATGGAGTAATATATAAAATATTTTATTTTATATTTTATTATATTATTAAAATTGTGATTTGACGGAAAATATTAAAATATTAACCTAATTCACAATATGACGCAAATATACTACCTTATGAAATCTTGGGTGTTGCATAACTGGGATAAAAGTTTGTATTGCCCAGTTGTATTTTTCCCCCACTTAAAATGAGTAATTGTCGTTCGGTTCGCTTTTAACACTAAATTATTCTTCACTTCAGTTTATTAAATTAAAGCTGAAAGGAACATTAATTACACTGGGTGTGAAGTGAATTGAAGTATCACTCACCAAAGTGAAAGTTTTATATGTGATTATGAAATGTCCTGAGATAAAATTTCTCTTGCTTATTTGTAAATGCGATTTCCTGTTAATTTATTAGAAAACTTAAGTGTAACAATTTCATAATATGTCTGTAGACATTCGATATGCACACAGCTTTAAATTTACGATTCTATAGGCCTTCTTCGTGATGTGTTTACGTAAATACGATCACATCCCTGTCTCTACTGACTCTAAACAACCTTCTCAGTTGAAACAGCGTCCTTAAATCCACAAGCTATTAACCTCACCTCGATATCAAGTTAGGAATAACTGTAGCTTGTACCTTTCGCTTCACAATATTCAGTGTTCTGTCTGTCCGTCCGTCTGTACTGAAATAGTACATGAATGACGTTAATAAGTCGGAGATAGTCAGTTGATTAATTAGAACACACAGCAGATCCACGCTGAGGGTGAGGGGGAGGGGGGAGTCAACGGTTTTACTGGGATCTGTGAGCGCTCAATGCCTCTTCTATTGAAAGCCACTAGTTTCGTTTTATAATGTACTACTGCTAGCAATGCAATGGTTTTTGGGGGTAGGAATGAACGTACAGCAGTGTGCGGCTTTTCAGAGGCCAGTAACCACCCTCCCCTCCCACACACCACCCTTCCACCCTGCCACCAAACCCGATTTTCATTAACTGTTGCGTAGAATTGCAGCTGAGGCTCGTAGTGGCTGCCACCACTCCTGATTGAAATACTAAGCTTGTACCATGAAATCCAATCCAAAATAGCTAAACCAATGTAAAGGCTTAGATATTGGTGGAAAAAGGAAATATATTACAGAACTTGTATGCGTTCAATCAAAGTTATGTAATGACCTTCGCCCCTACCAACTACCCCTCTCACCATTTTCATATGGCCCGTCCATTTAGAGGGCGGGTTTTGCTGGTGTATACCTCCACACTTTTACACTGTCAGGGCACTGATTACGGCCTCCAGCAATGTGAATTGGACTGCCAGCAAAACCCCACGCCTGTCATGATTAATGCTGTTCTGAAACAGCAAACGTTCCGCATTGTCCACATTCCTTTTAAATGATATTATAATAAGGCTCTTATACAGAAAAATATAAATTTGTGTGGTATTGTACATGGGTGGACAACGCATTCGTTCGCCGCAAGGAAAGAAGTGGATTGAGGGTGTCTAAAAACACGGCGGCGTTGAGAATATTACGACCTAATATAAAAGACGACTCAGGAGGGTGAGGAAGACTGGGTACGAGGAACAACCTTCGAGCTGTCAGAACATAAGCCGTGGACCAGAGATGATCCATCGTGTAGTCTTGTAGGAGTTTACCGACGTTTCAGATATACTTGTTGCCTCCATCATCACGGCGATGAGAAGAGTGTTATCGAACATCAAGGCTGAATTTCAGAAAATATCATTCATGTTCGGAAGGTTTCAGGTTCGATTTTCAGGCCCGCACTACGATTATTCTGATTGAATATTATTTATTTGTCTCCGACGTTTCTGTGACACAATATGCCCAGACCACTACAGTTTTCTTTCACAAATTTACAGCCATGTTGAAACTCGACATTATATCGCCTACGCAGTTTACAAAACGTAATTAAATACCTAATATATATATAAGCAAACAGGTTAATTTATTTAGCTGACTAAACGTAGTTAGCCAAGAAATAAAGAAGGCAGGGGAACGCGAGACAGCCGGCCAAATTGCCCACCGACGTCAGTTTATG